ACCTTAGTTTACTGATTAAGGACTACTAATGAGCTTTCTTAGTAGTTGTTCGAACACAAGTCCAGTTTAAATCAGTCTTTTCTGAACAAGGGCTGTTAATTTAACTTCATTAACAGCCGACAGGAATCCAAAGAATAAATAACTCAATTCTGAGGCACAGTATTTCAGATAACCGTAATCTTACTGTGGTTGGCAGAATGCCCAGAAGCAATTTGCAGGAAAACTGACAAGAGAAACACGAACTGATTTCAGTTCTTTGAGGGTTGTTGTTTTGTGTATCTCCCTTCACAAACACGGGTTTCCCCAGGGCAGCTTACAAGACACACCCTTTACCTTGTCTCATGTTTCTCAACCTTGGCAACTTGAAGATGTGGACTTCAACTCCCAGAATTCCCCACTCAGCAAGGTATTCTGGGAGTCCACACATTTTCAAATTGCCACAGTTGAGACACCCAGATCTATCCCCTATCTAGCAGTTCTTGCATGCTGTGACCGACCTACATCCAATCACGGAACTTCTAAAATGCTCTGGCACTTAGCCAACTCTGGATGCAATGTGATCCAAAGAGCTCTCACCTCTACCACACCGGTCCCCAACCTTTGCGGCCTGGCGGCCTGGCTTGGGCGAGGGGCAGAGGGGAACCTCTAATTAATTAATTTAATTATGATATCTGTATATTTATGTTTTAAATTGGCTGTACACCGCCCCGAGTCCTTCAGGAGAAGGGCGGTATATAAATAAATAAATAAAACAAACAAACAAACAAATAAATAAATAAATAAATAAATATTGCTAAGTGAGATAGCTGTTAAGTGAGTTTTGCCCCATTTTACGACCTTTCTTGCCATGGGTGTTAAATAAATCACTGGCGTTGTCAAGTGAGTAATGTGGTTGTTAAGTGAATCTGGCTTCCCCACGGACTTTGCTCTTCAGAAGGTCACAAAAGGCGATCACATGACCCCGGGACACTGAAACTGTCATAAATATGAGTCAGTTGCTAAGCATCTGAATTTTGATCACATGGTCATGGGGATGCTGCAAAAGTTATAATTATGAAAAGTGGTCATAAAAGTCACTTTTTTTCAGTGCCATTGTAACTTTGACCAGTCACTAAATGAACTGTTATAAGTCAAGGAACTACCTATATTTTCCCCACAAGAAGCACACTATGACATGTTACAAGACTCCATTGCAAATTTGTTGGTTCCAAAATTAAAATTATCTAGGAAGATGTCCCAAAGGTGGTTTTTTTCAGGAGGCAACTGGACTTTTCTTGTTTTTTCTTTGAAGATGTTTCGCTTCTCATCTAAGAAGCTTCTTCAACTCTGAAGGATTTTTCCAGAAAAATTGCAGATTACAGGAACCGTTTGCGCTTCTGTTTGAGATGCGGACAACCCAGACGGCAACCTCTTAAGATTGTAGAAAAAATGCTTTTAAAAGTTAAAAAAAAAAAGTTGGCCACGCCCACCCAGTCACATTACCCCCACCAAGCCATGCCCACAAAATAAGCCACGCCCACATAACTGGTAGTAACAAAATTTAGAACCCACCCCTGATGTGGGGGATGACACGCGCATGTGGGGGCCCCGCACCGGGGTGAAATCCAGCAGGTTCTAACAGGTTCTGGAGAAACGGTAGCAGAAATTTTGAGTAATTCGGAGAACCGGCAAATATCACCTCTGACTGGCCCTAGAGTGGGGTGGGAATGGAGATTTTGCAATATCCTTCCCCTGCCTCGCCCACCAAGCCACACCCGCAGAACCGGTAGGGATAAATTTTGAATTTCACCTCCGGCCCGCACTCATGAGGGGCCGCACACTCATTTTATTTTGGGGGGTTCACACGGGTGCTTGTGTGCTTTGGGCACTTGGTCCGGAAAGGGTTAGCCATCACTGATCTAGGAGGTATCAATTACTCTAGGACAGTGTTTCTCAACCTTGGTAGCTTGAAGATGGGTGGACTTCAACTCCCCAGCCAGCGCTGCTGGCTGGGGGATTCTTGGAGTTGAAGTCCACCCATCTTCAAGCTACCAAGGTTGAGAAACACTGCTCTAGGAGTAATTAAACATTACTTTAATAATATTTTTCAAGTGAGGTGTTGTGACAACTCCTTAACTTGAACATCCAGTTCCTCTTACGGTACCTGTCCTCTCCATTTCTGACTCAAACCCTTGACTCATGTTGACCTCTAAAACCCTGGAGTGTTTAGCTCTGACCAGAGCTGACCAGGCTAAATTGATGTTCCAGGAGCAGCTGGCAGTGGTAGCGGAAGTGGGGGGAAATTGTGTCTCTTTTTTTTGTCAGGTTTGGCGGGGGTGTGTGTTAGAGTCTGTTAAATTCTGGGACTGCTCTGGTTCTGCATTCATGCCAAAAGAGATGCTGTAATCCAGTAAATAGATTTCTTCATTTTATCAAAGGAACAATAGGTCATGACCTCTTCGACATCCAGACGAGGTCTTTCCCAAAAAATCCTAACGTTGCTCATTCCCCTCTTGAAGTTCTAGAAAAGTTTATTTTTTCTTCGATCAGAGGTGTTTAATACCCTTGCCTCGGTCACTAAAATGCTTGATTTACGACCACAATTCATCCCAAACTTTCCGTTGTTGAGTGAGGTAGTTGTTAAGTGAGTTTTGCCCCATTTTATCGCTTTCTTGCCACAGTTAAGTGAATCCACAACATCTGATTGATTGATTGATAGGCATTTGTCTGGAATGGTATATAGGATTTCCTGTTTGAGCAGGGGGTTGGACTAGAAGACCTCCAAGGTCCCTTCCAGCATTGTTCTTCTGTTATTCTCTCCCACTTGAAATTTGGCTGCAATTGATCAAACTCAGTTCCCTTTCTGGAGAAGATCTTATCATTTATTTTCCTTCTGCAATTTGACTACACTGACATGAATAATTCAGTTTGGCCCAGCTGCACAGCCAAGGAAGCTGCAGCTCTTGAAAACGTATGCCTTTTATGAGATTTGATTAGTCTAGATTAGAAAAGGGGTAATCGGAGACCTCTCAGTTTTCAGTCTGAGGAAACACAGTTAAAACTCTTACACCAAAGTTGATTTTACTTTTTATCAATAGTTGTCATGTAGCAAAGCTGTACGTTTTTTAGTATTGTGAAACTGGTGTACATTTATTCCACACGGAGAATTGGTCCTTGTGCCAAATACAGTCATATAACTGTTGAAATTTAGGATTCCTTTACTATACAGCCTTGCTGATTATATGATTAGCAGGTTATATAAAATTAAAATTGAATTTAAGAGGCTGGTCTAGAATTACCTTTAACACATGGCTCTTAAACTAAACCAATAGTTTTTAAAATGACATGAGCCTCTCATTATTTACAATTGTGTGTGCAAAAACCCCTAAATAAAAATTTTTAAATATCAAATATAAGAAAATATATTACGTCAGGATTTTAGGTTAATTGTTTACTCCCTTTTTCTTTTTTCCCTTGTACCTCATATTTTCTTTCCCCATTTCTTTTTTCCTTCCCTTAATTTCCTATTTTTAATTTGTATTTTATACATTAGTAAAACAATAAAAGTTATAGAAAAGGAAATAGCACGCGCCTGTCTACTTATTTAATTATTTATCTACAGTTTACCACAATAGACTACAGTATAAATAGTCTATTATTTATAGTCTATCTACAAGTGTACATCAGATAATATATCTGTTTTTAAATAATGAAAATTAGAAAGCTCATAAACATTTAAATTGGTCAGAAATTAGAAGATTACTGCAAACTGTTGACTCTACCTATGTTTTTTTTACTGAGCTTTCAATTGAACCTCTCCTAAAGAGAAATAAAAAAACAACCAGAAAAATAATATGCTCATAGATTACAGGAATCTTGTTCCCTTTATTATAAAAGACAGTGCTTTATTTCAGAAAGCTGTCCTTTAAATTGCTTTATTTTTCAAAAACTCACTGTTGCCCTTTGTTTTGGTCATTTAACTTTTACCAAATAAATGGGGCCACTTAACTTTCACGTACATGTGAAAAATGTGAGAACTGAATTTTTGAAAAAGGTCGCAAAAGTTTGTCAGAAGGTCACAAAAGTTGATCACATGACCCTGGGACCCTGCAACCCTCATAAATATGAGTCACTTGTCAAGCATCCGAATGCAACTCAATGATCATGGGGATGCTGCATTGGTTGTAAGTGTGAAAAAACGAACGCAAGTCCCATTTTTCAGCGCCGTTATAACTTTGAATGGTCACTAAATGAACCTATAATCCTCAATTTATAACCATTCATTTAGTGACCATTTGAAATTGACGAGAGCACTGAAAAAAGTGACTTATGACCAGTTTTGACACGTTGCAGGTCATAAATTCGATCGCTTGGCAACTGGCTCCTATTTATGACGCTTACGGTGTGCCGGGGTCCTGCGATCCCCTTTTGGGACCTTTTGACAAGCAAAGGGGAAGCCAGAGTCCTTTAACAACCGTGTGACTAACTTAACAACTGCCGTGGTTCACTCAACAACTGTGGCCAGAAAAGTTGTAAAACGGGTGCAAAACTCACAAGCGTCTTGCTTAGCGACAGAAATGTTGGCCTCAGTTGTGGTCGTATGTCGAGGCCTACCTGTAACTGTACCCCTTTAGGTCTTGAGAAACAGATTGATCCGGGGCTGGAAAGGCCCAGGGGCTGGAAAGTATGTGGAAAGATAGAAAAGAGCAAAACTTCTATTTGCACACGGAGTTCTGTCCGGTGTATTGCTCAAACCATGTCCCTATTTCTGACCTTGGCGTGTTGCCTAGTACAACATACAACTAAGGTCTCTCTCTCTCTCTCTTTCTCTCGCTCACTCACTCACACACACACACACACACAAAGACATCCACGACATGCACCCACAGCCAGGCAGGCGTCTTAGCTGTGCAAATAGCCTGCGAGCCAAATCAATAATCCCTGTGGGTAGAGAGGAATGTGGGTGTGTTTCTGTGTCCTCCCATTTGCAGGCAGCGAGTATAAAAGGGCTGGCTGGTTAGCGGAGGACGGAGCAGGTGAGGTGGAGAACAACTCCGTCTCCTCTGACCCACCAGCTTTGACTCCTCTACCAGCTGACCTCTCAACGCTATGGGGAAGAACCGGATACTTGTAGGACCCTGCCTTTTTCTCCTGGGCCTCTTCCTCCTTCCCGGGGGCACCACAGCATCGACCCCAAAACCGTAAGCACTTTTCCTTCGTTTCTTCTTTGTTTCCCTCCGAATGTTGAGTCTGGTTTTTTTTTTTTTCCAGAAGGCAAAAATGGGTACAGATACAGATTAACAGAGTTGGGAGGGACCTTGTAGGTCATCTAGTCCAACCCTCTGCCCAAGCAGGAAAACCTACCTATACCATTTCTGCCAAATGGCAGTCCAATCTCTTCTTGAAAGCCTCCAGTGATGAAGCTCCCACAACTTCTGAAGGCAACTTCCGTTCCATGGGTTGATTGCTCTCACTTGTCAGAAAATTTCTCCTTATTTCCAGGCTGAATCTCTCCTTGTTCAGTTTCCATCCATTACTCCTTGTCTGGCCTTCAGGCGCTTCGGAAAATAGCTTGACCTTCTCCTCTCTGTGGCAGCCCCTCAAATATTGGAAGAATACTATTATTTATTTATTTATTTATTTATTTATTTATTTATTTATTTATTTATTATTTATTTATTTATTTAATTTATTTATTTATTTATTTATTTATTTATTTATTTATTTATTTATTAAATTTTTATACCGCCCTTCTCCCGAAGGACTCAGGGCGGTGAACAGCCAGGGTTAAAATACATGCAGTGTAAAAATTAAAATAATTTTAAAATAATTAAATCCAATTTGACTATCATGTCTCCCCTGGTCCTTCTCTTCACCAGACTAGCCATGCCCAGTTCTTGCAACCATTCATCCTATGTTTTAGCCTCCAGTCCCCTAATCATCCTGGTTGCTCTTCTCTGCACTTTTTTTTAGAGTCTCAACATCTTTTTTTATAGTGTGGTGACCAAAACTGGATGCAGTACTCTAGGTGTGGCCTTACTAGGGCTTTATAGAGTGATTGATCTTGATTGTATCCCTTTGTTAATGCAATTTAGGATTGCATTGGGTTTTTTTTTTTTTGGCTGCTCCTGCACACTGTTAGCTCATATTTAAATGGTTGTCTACTAAGACTCCAAGATACCTCACAGCCACTGCTATTAAGCCTGGTTTCACCCAGTTTATATGTGTACTTTTGGTTTTTCTTGCCTAAGTGTAAGACTTTACTTTTCTCTACATTGAATTTCATTTTTCGTCTATTATTTCTTTATTTTTCGCTGAGATCACTGTCCTGCCTTCCCTGCTGAAGCTCAAGGCAGCCTGCATCACCCTCCTTTTTCGTATTTGGACCTCACAACAACGTTGTGAGGGAGGCTAGGTTAAGAAAGAGCAACTGGCTACTCAGCATTCTTTGGTGGCCAAGGGTGTTTTTTTTTTTTTTTTTTAATTTGATTTATATGCCGCCCTTCTCCGAAGACTCAGGGCGGCTTACAATGTGCTCAGCAATAGCCTTCATCCTTTTGTATATTTATACAAAGTCAGCTTATTGCTCCCACAAACTGGGTCCTCATTTCACCTACCTTAGAAAGGATGGAAGGCTGAGTCAACCTTGAGCCTTGGCGAGATTCGAACCCTGCAGTAATTGCAGGCAGCTGGTCTTAATAACCAGCTTAATAACAGGGTGCCTTAAACCCCTGTACTACCAAGGCTCTTGAACCTGGGTCTCTTTGTCCTTGGCACAACTCTACGCCATTCTGACTAATTTTTTTTGCAAAGCTGACTATTACAGGTAGTCCTCGACTTAAGACCACAATGGAGCCCAACATTTATGTTGCTAAACGAGGTTGGCAAAACTGACTAATACAGGTAGATCTCGACTTACAACCCCAATGGAGTCCAAACTTTATGTTGCTAAGCGAGTTTTGCAAAACTGACTAATACAGGTAATCCTCGATTTACAACGACAACTGAGCCCCAGACTGATGTTGCTAAGCGACAGATTTGTTAAGTGAGTTTTGCCCCATTTTATTCATTCATTTATTTATTTATTTTATAAAATTTGTATGCCGCCCTATCTCCAAGGACTCAGGGCGGCTCACAACGACAGTCGACCAAGCGACTGTTAAAAACAACGAATATACATAAAAATCAAGAAAGTTTTTTTTTTTTTTAAATTTAAAATATACTACCCCAGCAGTCTAGGCCAGGGGACATAAATAGCCAGGTTCTCAATTCACAGCGGAAGGTGCGAAGGTCAAGTGCCAACCGGAGTCCCAAGGGAAGTTCATTCCAAAGGGTGGGGGGCGCTCACAGAGAAGGCTCTACCCCTGGGAGTCGCCAGCCGACATTGTCTAGCCGACGGCACCCTGAGTAGGCCCTTTCTGTGAGAGCGCACCGGGCGATGGGAAGTTGATGCTGGTTGCAGGTGGTCCGACAAATAACCTGGGCCTAAGCCATGAAGGGCTTTATAGGTTAACACCAGCATCTTGAATCTCACCCGGAGGGCAACCGGCAACCAATGCAAGCCGCGCAGGAGTGGTGTAATATGGGAGTATCGGGTCCCTCCCGCAATAACCCGCGCGGCCGCATTCTGTGCCAGCTGAAGCCTGGCGCCCATACTTGGATCAACTTTATTTTACGACCTTTCTTTCCATATTTGTTAAATGAATCCCTGCAATTGATAAGTTAGTAACTTGGTTGTTAAGTGAATCGGGCTTCCCCATTGACTTTGCTTCTCAGAACGTCACAAAATGTGATCACATGAGCCTGGGATACTGTGACCGTCATAAATATGAAACAGTTGCCCAGTCTCTGAATTTTGATCACGTGACCATGGGGATCCTGCAAAGGTTGTAACTATGGAAAAACGGTCATATGTCACTTTTTTCAGTGCCGTAACTTTGAACGGTCACCAAATGAGCTGTTTTAAGTCGAGGACTACTTGTAGAAGAACCATTGTGACAAAAGAAATAAAAAATACTACCAGTAGTAGTAGTAGTAGGCAAACACCTTGGGTGCAATCCCAAAACACCTGGGATTGACCTTGATGTGACGTTGAACAACTTCACCATCATAAGCATTGACAAAATCCAGACCCGTCAATTGCAAAAGGCAGCTTTATTTGGAACAGCTTACATCTTGTGAAGATGTAAGCACCCAAAGGTGCTTTTTCAAGAGGCAACTGGACTTTCTGGTTTTTCTTTGAAGACGTTTTGCTTCTCATCCAAGAAGCTTCTTCAGCTCTTGGGTATGCTGCAACGGTCGTAAGTGTGAAAAAAAAAAGTCATAAGTCCACATTTTTTAATACTGTTGTAACTGCGAACGGTCACTAAATGAACGGTTGTAAGCCGAGGACTATCTGTAAATAAAAGCATACAGGCATCAGCCAGGTTGGGGTGGTGGCTACAGGTAACAGGCTGGAAACCAGGAATGCAAATGTGAATCCTGCCAAGCTGGTTCAACCTGGGCCAGTCCCTCTCTTTTTGTCTCTCAGGAATAAGGAAGAGATCCGGGCAAGTCCCTTCTGAAGTAAGGAGAAGTTTCCTAACAGTTAGAACAATTAATCACTGGAATAATTTGCCTCTAGAAGTTGTAGATGCTCCAACACTGGAAATTTTAAAGAAGAGATTGGATAACCATTTGTCTGAAATACTATAGGGCAGGAGTGTCAAACTCGATTTCATTGAGGGCCGCATCAGGGCTGTGTTTGACTTTGTGGGGGGGGGGGCATGGCCAGGGGGCGCATGTCCAACTCCACGTCATTTGTGTCGGGGTGCTTGTGGCAGTCTGGGAGGAGCTGGGGGAATTTTCAAGACCAGGGAGAGCGCCAAACCCTTGTCCTCCAGAGCAGGAGTCTCCAACCTTGGCAACTTTAAGCCTGGCGGACTTCAACTCCCAGAATTCCCCAGCCAGCTTTGCAAAGAATTCTGCAACTTTAAGCCTGGGGAATTCTGGGAGTTGAAGTCCGCCAGGCTTAAAGTTGCCAAGGTTGGAGACCCCTGCTCCAGACGAGCCTTCCTGTCCCGCTCAGGCCATGCAGAGGACTCCCTGGAAGGCAGTGCAAGCTGTCCAGAGCCCTAGGCAGCGGAGAACAACCACCAAGCGCCACCCCCAAGCTCCCAGGGCACCAGGATCCCACAGTCCCGAGCTCCGTTTTCAGCTGCGATGGCCCCCTGCAGCGGTCTGGAGCTCAGGAAGGCTGTGTGCGGCCCTCCCGAGTTCCGTTTTCGCGGTAGAGCGTTGCAGGAGGTTGTCGCATGACCCTCCTGAGCTCTGTTTTTGCTGTGAAGAGGCACCACAGGCCGGTCCTTCGATGTTTCCAGGGTGGCCCCACGGGCCAGATCTAAGTACCCCATGGACCGGATTCAGCCCCCGGGCCTTGATTTGACACCCCTAGTATAAGTTTTTCTGCCTAAGCAGGGGGTTGGACTAGTAGACCTCCAAGGTCCCTTCCAACAATAGTATAACATACTATATTCTACCTAATGAAGAAAACTACAAGGCTGATCCAGGCTTAGTAAAGGTGGTATACTTGTTTAGTGACTGCCTTCTATATAGTGATAGAAGAGGCTTTTTTAAAAACTCAGCTTGGATTGTCAGAGGCATTTAAAAGAAAAAAAGGGTTTTTTTTCTTTTAAAAGCCTTTGACGATCCCAGCTGAGCTGTACAATCATCAGAGGCTTTTTTTTTTTTTACTTTTAAAAGGAATTTTTCAGCCGAAGAGGTTGTAGAAAAAATGCTTTTAAAAGTAAAAAAAAGAAAAGCCTCTGATGATTGTGCGGCTCAGCTGGACATGGGGGTGGAAGGCGGGGCAGGGATTTTTGCTACCGGTTCTCCGAATCACCCGCCTCCATCGCTACCGGATTAGGCGATCCGGTCCGAACCGGGAGCATTTCACCCCTGGGCCTACCCACTACAGTCCTGACTGGTGACAGTCATATGACCGACAGTCATTAAACGAACCTATGGTTTGCTGTAAACTAGTTTTGCTGAAAACCAGAAGTAAATGTTGGTTTTGGCAAAACAATTGTTTGTTAATTAAAACGTGGACATGTGATTGTAAATCGAACCCAGGTGGTGCCAAATGCCCAGAGCGGGGTCATGTGACTGCACCGGGGAGGAGTGGGAGGCTAATGTCAGAACTTCAAATCTGGATCATAAGTCAGCTGTAACTTCTACTAATTGCTAAGCAACCGGTCGTAAGTGGAGAACTACCTGTGTGACCACCGAAGATTTTGGGAATCGTAACCCATTGATGTTGACAGCACGAAACAAGAAGAAAGGAGTATTGGGCATGTTCAATTTTTGCACTGAGTATTTCGTTTACTCATACAGGTAGTCCTCGAGTTACGACCACAATTGAGCCCAAAATTTATGTTGCTCATTCGTTAAGTGAGTTCGTCCCATTTTATGATTTTTCTAGCCACATTGGTTAAGTGAATCACTGCAGTTGTTAAACTAGTAACCCGGTTGTTAAGTGAATCTGGCTTCCCCATTGATTTTGCTTGTCAGAGGGTCGCAAAAAGGGATCACGTGACCCAGGGACACTGCAACCGTCATAAATATGAGTCAGTTGCCAAACGTCTGAATTTTGATCACGCGACCATGGGGATGCTGGAACAGTCATAAGTGCGAAAAACGGTCATAAGTCACTTTTCCAGTGCCGCTGTAACTTTGAATGGTCACTAAATGAACTGTCGTAAGTTGAGGACTATCTGCATTGGGCGTGTTACAATTTTACACTGAGCATTTCTTTTTTTTTTCACATACAGTGTGATAAGCAGAACTCCTTTAATTTAATCCAGGAAAAAGGCTTAAAAAAATAAATAAATCCCCAGATTAATTTTAGTTCAATTCTTTCGCGAAGAAACCGTTCTTTGTAATTCCTGTTCTGAAAAGGATACGTGCCTTGAATCAGAATCCGAAAGTCTGGGAGAGCTAAAAATGTTCCCCCGGCTGGTTTTGCAAGTTTCACTTCCTATTTCGACAAGGGGGCTGGAAAACAAAACTCTCAAAAAAAGAAAGAAAAACGCGGTTTGTACGGCAATGAAAAAAACGACACATTTGGCATTTTCAAACATCTTGAAGGGCTGTGATGTACAGAACGAAGCCGACCAACTTTCTCTGCGCTAATACAAGTAATCCTCGACTTACGACAGTTCATTTATTTGACAATCTCCGTAGACATTTAAGAGTTTTTACTTAGTGACGGTTTGAAGTTACAACGGCACGGGGGGAAAAAAGTGACTTACGAACGTTGTTCAAACTTACGAACGTTGTAGCATCCCTACGGCCACCTGATCCAAATTCAGACCCTGGGCAACTGACTCATATTTGTGACCCTTGCAGAGTCCCGGGATCATGTGATTCCTTTTTGTGACCTTCTGACTGTCAGGGTTCCAAGTTTTTCTACGTTTTGCAACCACACTTTTTTTCAGTGTCATCGTAAATTCGAACGGTCACTGACCAAATGATTGTAAGTCAAAGGCTACCTGTGTTAACTTTTAAGTCGCAGGTAATGTGATTTGGTGAAAAATGAGATAGGCAAAATTTCCCCTTTTAGTATGGATAAACTCTTCAGGAGCAAATACCTGATTATCTGCCAGTTATTTGCCTTCAATCACTGAAACCAACCTTCCTTCCTTCCTTTCTTTCCTTCCTCTCCTTCCTTCCTTCCTTCCTTCTTTCTCTCCCTCCCTCTACCACTTCTTCTTTCCTTCCTTCTCTCCCTCCCTCCTTCTCCTTCCTTCCTTCCTTCCTTCTTTCCTTCCTTCCTTCCTTCCTTCCTTCCTTCCCTCCCTCTCCTTCCTTCCTTCCCTCCCTCCCTCCTTCTCCTTCCTTCCTTTCTTCTTCTCTCCCTCCCTCTCCCACTTCTTCTTTCCTTCCTTCTCTCCCTCCCTCCTTCTCCTTCCTTCCTTCCTTCTCTCCCTCCCTCTCCCACTTCTTCTTTCCTTCCTTCTCTCCCTCCCTCCTTCTCCTTCCTTCTCTCCCTCCCTCCTTCTCCTTCCTTCCTTCTTTCCTTCCTTCCTTCTTTCCTTCTTTCCTTCCTTCCTTCCCTCCCTCCCTCTCCTTCCTTCCTTCCCTCCCTCCCTCTCTCCTTCTCCTTCCTTCCTTCCTTCCTTCCTTCCTTCCTTCCTTCCTTCCTTCCTTCCTTCCTTCCTTCCTTCCTTCCTTCCTTCCCTACCTTCCTCCCCCCCGAGGATATTATAAAATTAAATTTAGTTTAACCCAGATAGTTCTTTTTAGCAACCACAGTTGGGATATGCCTCTCATGTGGCGGGATAGCCACCTTCATTCTCTGATCTCCTGACTAATTCTGTTTTTCTCTTTCCAGGCAATATCTGGTTTTGGTCCCTGTCGTTGTCCCCACGGAAACCCCCAGGCAGATCTGCGTCCAGCTGAACCACCTGAATGAGTCCGTGACGCTGAGCATCACCCTGGAATACGGCTTGCAGAACAGGAGCCTCCTAAGGGAAGAAGTCTCCAAGAAAGACCTGTTCAAGTGCATCGAGTTCCAGGTGAGGCCCTCTGGGCTCTCTTCGCCTCACAGGATGTCCATGTACAGTGCAACAGTAAAAGAAAAACGAAATAAAAATTGCGTGGATATACAGTACTTTGGTACAGTGGAAGAGGAATGTTTTCTTCCATTATGAGTTTATGACGTTACTATGTGCAACTGTATTCATAGCAACATCAACAATTCGTAGAGCAATCAAACAATAAGAGATTTAATCTTTATTTGGATCTTTGGCAATTGTATTCACTGAGCTGTGTGAATAGACCTCTTCTCTTCTCTTCTCTTCTCTTCTCTTCTCTTCTCTTCTCTTCT